GTGCATATAACCAGCTTCATCAGACTTAGCCTCTTCAATAATTAGGATTACTGGTGTGAGCCACCAGTACCTGGCAGAACTTTCTCTGTCTCTCTGTCTTTCTCTCTGTCTCTGTCTCTCTGTCTCTCTCTGTTTCTCTCTGTCTCTGTCTCTGTCTGTCTCTCTCTCTCTTATTAAAGTCTAATTAGTATCTGTATTCAGATCGGGAAACCTAGGGCTGGGAATGTGGCTTAGTGGTAGAGCGCTTGCCTAGCATGCATGAAGCCCTGGGTTTGATTTGAGCCACAATGGTAGAATGCTAGCCTTGAGCAAAAAGAAGCTCAGGGATAGTGCCCAGGCCCTGTGTTCAAGCCTTAGGACTGGCAGAAAAAAAATGCCCACAAAAAACAGATTGGGAAATCTGTTTCCTTTATGGGTTTTAGGAGCCCTATTCCTGTTAAGAAGGTGATTGGTCTTCCCAGGAAGGAGACTAGCATCTTGGGCCTGAGTGTCTGGATGGCCACTTAACAACAACCTTGTATCTGAGCAAGTTTTCTCTCATTTCCTTGATTCCTGCTTTCAGGTTGCCCTCCTAATCCAACTTTAACTCTTGGGAACCATCTGATAGTGTAAAGACCCCCTGCTACTGGGCTCCTTTGCAGCCTCAATATCAGCTTTCCTGGAGCCTATATTTGTGTGTGTGTGTGTGTGTGTGTGTGTGTGTGTGTGTGTGTGTGTGTACCTGTCCTGGGACTTGAACTCGGCCTGGGCACTGGTCTTGAGCTTTTTTATTCAAGGCTCGTACTCTACCACTTGAGTCACACAGCTCCACTTGAAGTTTTTTTGGTAGTTAATTGAAGATAAGAGCATCACAGATGGGGCTGGGAAGGTGGCTCAGTAGTAGAGCGCTTGCCTTGCATGCCTGAGGCCCTGGGTTTGATTCTTCAGCACCACATAAGCAAAAAGAAAAAAGCCAGAAGTGGTGCTGTGGCTCAAGTGGTAGAGCGCTAGCCTTGAGCTGAAGAGCTGAGGGACAGCGCCCAGGCCCAGAGTTTAGGCCCCACGACCAGATCCAAAAAAAAAAAAAAAGAGTATCACAGACTTTTTTGGGGTGGCTAGCTGTGAACACTGATCTGTAGATTTCAACCTCCTGAGTAGCTAGAATTATAGACATGAGTTACTGAAGCTCAACCAAGGGATTTCCACACACACCCCCTCCCCCCCTAGTATTGAGCCTTGAACTCAGGGTCCCAAGTTTTCGCTTGACTTTTTCTGATCAAAGCTGGTATCACTTGAGCCACACTGCCACTTCCTAGTTTTTGTTGATTAAGTCTCACAGACTTTTCTGCACAGGCTGGCTTTGAACGGAGATCTCAGTCTCCTGAGTAGCTAGGATAACAAGGGTAAACCCACTGGTGCCTGGTTTATCTGTTATTAAAATACATGATGTAGGCAGCTGTGTAAAAAATATAGCAGATCTTTCTTTAGATGATGCAAACTTACTCATGGGCTCTTATTCCTATTGTAGAGGAGGCCAAACTTCAACTTGCTAGTGAAAGTTACCTGAGTCTCTCCTGGTCTAAAACTTCCATTGGATAAAAGACTGGGTAGCAATTCAAGGTTGCAGTTCTATTAGATCCCTTCCCCCCTTTCCCACTTTGACTTCTGCCACCTATGGGTGGCAGTGGCAAGTTGGGCGTGTATGTGTGTGTGCGTGGGAGGGGGGTATTATGGACTGTTACATCTGTAGGCAGGGTTGTGAGCTGCAATTTAGGTTTTCACTGGCCTCTGTTGGTATATGCTTGCTCTCTCCTGGTCATCGCTGCCTTCATCTGTGGATGGTTGGCCGTTCAGGATGTGTTGCTTGAATGATGTCTAAGAGTCTGAAGTTTCCTCTCTTATGCTCTTTTCTATCCCTGCTCCTCTTACCAACTTATTTAAGAGCACTTCAGCTCTGCAGGCATCCTCAGTTCAGCCAGCATCCTCAGCTGTGCTTATCTTGATGTTTTAACCATATTTCTATCCCTTCCCTGCCTATCAGTCCACATTATGTAGTCTCTCTGCTTTAGGATCAATTGGACCTGATACAGTGTCCATTGGCCCAGCTATGGGTCTCGATCATGCTTCCTGTATGTCTGGCAGGAGAGTGAAGAGCAATCTGGATTTCCAGCATACTATCTGCCAGTGGTGGAAACCAGTAACATTATCTCAGACTCATTTCATATACCGCTGTCTGCTTAGTGTAGGGCATCTCCCAGAATGGAGAGGCCTTCCAAACCAGGCCAGGGGAAGTTTTACTTGTAGCTTCCTGGGCAGTTAGACATATTCCTATGTCCTTGCCTCAGAGTTAGATCCCAAGAGTGAAGAAACACAACGCACTCATCCTAACCTCTTACCTAATCGCATTTCACAGCCCTGACTGGGCTTCCAGTGATCCTCCCTTTAGCCTACCAGGTAGCTAGGACTACAGGCCTGCACCACTACATCTGTAAAACGTACCTATCAGCACAGAGGTATGCACAGATGGCACACATGCACAAATCACACTTATTATTGTTATTACTGTGGAAGCTCATGTACAACGGGAAAATGAAGTCTTCCACACTGGGTTGGAAGTGGAATTCAAATCTTTTTTAATTTTTATTGTTATAATAAAGGTGATTTACAGAGGGGTTACAGTTACGTACAATTCTTTTTGGACAATTGGAATTCAAATCTTTTTTTTCCTCTTGCCAGTCTTTGGGCTTGAACTCAGGGCCTGGCACTGTCCCTGAGCTTCTTTTGCTCAAGGCTAGCTCTCTACCACTTGAGCCACAGCACCACTTCCAGCTTTTTCTGTTTATATGGTACTGAGGAATCAAACCCAGGGCTTCATGCATGATAGGCAAACACTACGACTAAGCCACATTTCTAGCCCTCAAACCTTTTTTTTTTTAACTCAAGGCTTAACTTCTATTTTTTGGGGGGGAGGGGTCTGGTCATGGGGCCTGAACTCTGGGCCTGGGCACTGTCCCTCAGCTCTTCAGCTAAAGGCTAGTGCACTACCACTTGAGCCATAGTACCACTTCCGGCTTTTTTTCTTCTGCTTATGTGGTGCTGAGGAATCGAACCCAGGGCCTCATGCATGCAAGGCAAGCGCTCTACCACTGAGCCACCTTCCCAGCTCTTAACTTCTATTTTTGATCAAGATAAGTAACAGGGATTAGATTTGTCATCTTCCAGAGATAATACAATTCAAGATTCTTAAAACAAGACTAGGTAGATGAGGAACAAAAGATGGTGATCCCTGAACAAAATGAGAAACAAAAGTGAGCCCTAGGATTGCCTCAGCTAGCTACCCTGAGGGTACCTTCAGGCTACATTGTGGAAGGTTTGGGGCAGGGCAGGCTGAGCCCAGGAACCCTCAACTTCCTAAGTTGAGGAAATACAACTAGAAGTGTATGAAAAACAAGGCAAACAGGACACCCAATACAAAGAAGGGACCTACAGGCTGCCTCCAGTTTTCATGAGAATACTTAAAGCATGCAGGTTGAGGGGAGTTCTCTAAAGAATCATAATTACTCAACACTTATGTAACACCAGAACAATATATTCTCACAAGCCAGCAGAAAATTTTGTAACACATGGAACACCCATTCTTCACCATGTCTTGCCTCAATAATGGAGTGAATTAACTGAGGCAATATGCTTCTCAAGTCCTAAAAAATTCTGAATTGAAAGCCCTGAAGAAGTACAACTGTTTACACATAACTCAAGCATCTCAGAACAAAGATCATGAATATTTATAGAAGCAATGTATAATTCACAAGTCCTAGCATACCATCAAATAAGGCACCCAATAGCAAAGAGACTGGAAGCAAAGAAATTTAAATCTATATGTCATTCATGTATATAGATCCAAATCTTACTGAAACAAGAATATTCATAGATGTGGATCACATTAATGGCACAATATACCAAGTCATGTGGGTTTTTTTTGTTGTTGTTGTTGTTTGTTTTGTCGGTCATGGGACTTGAACTCTGGGCCTGGGCACTATCTCTGAGCTCTTCAGCTCAAGGCTAGCACTCTACCACTAGAGCCACCACGCCATTTCTGCCACTTCTGTTTATGTGGTGCTGAGGAATCGAACCCAGGGCTTCATGCATGTGAGGCAAGCGCTCTACCACTGAGCCACCTTCCCAGCCTGGTTGTTTGTTTGTTTGTTTGTTTTTAATAATAGGATCTAATAATGGTTCAGAGTTTGGTCATTATTCAAAAAAAATCTTAAACTATTTTCTTTTATTTTTGTTAGCATGCTTTGAACTCAATTTCCTACTGTGGCTCTATACTGACTTCTCTACAGCTGTTCTGCTCTAACCACTTACAGCTACTTACTTCAGTTACTTTGTTTTTTTGTGGGTCCTGGGGCCTGAACTCTGCGCCTCAGCTCTTCAGCTCAAGGTTAACGCCCTACCACTTGAGCCACAGCGCCACTTCTGGCTTTATCTGGTTATGTGATGCTGAGGAATCAAACCCAGGGCTTTATGCATGCCAGGCAAGGATTCTACCAGAGCCACCTTTCCAGCCTCACTTCAGTTAATTTAAGAGAGTGTGACTGAAGAAGTCACAAGAGCTCCCCAGTGTGAAAGCCAGTAAGGGGAAAAAATTACTCTTTAAGGATCCAAAGCCTATCAATATGGACCTTGGTTTTATAGGCGGTGTTGGGAATAGAACCCAGAGCATCGTACCTGTTGGGCAAGCACACTACAACTGAGCTACATCCCCATCCCTGCGAAACAAAATGAAATGATATAAACTACAAATGTGGAAATTCAAATCTTACAGGCAAGAAAACAACAGGTGACAAACAGATTATCCTGGAGTAGCTAGGGCCAGGGCCGTGACCACGCCCACCGACCCGCCCTCGCCACGCCCCCAGCAGGAGAGCCCCGCCTCCGGCTGCGCGCGCCCCTGTGGCTATAGCTCCCGCCCCCGCTGCTGACGTGCGGGGCGGAGCGGGTCGAGCGGGTTCCGTCGCGCCGTGCGCTTCCGCGGCTGCAGGGTCGTCGAGTCCTCGTGGTGGGGCGTCTCTGCGGGCTTGGCGCGCTCCCTCCTCCACCGGGACCCTCTCTCAGCACCTGGCGGGATCGCGGTGCAGCTGGAGAGTGGAGGGAGGTGAGTGTCGCCGGGAGCAGGAAGGACCGGGCGGGTACGCGCCCCGCTCTCCCGGGCTTTGTCTGCGCGGGGGCGGCGCGGGCACGTGCGCGCCCCTCCCCCATTGCGGGCCGCGCGGAGCGAGCGGGGCCGGGAGGGGAGGGAGGA